CTGTGGTCTAGGGGAACTCTTGTTAGGTTTCTTTCACATTCAAACTGTAAGATTTCTGGGCCTTTCTGACGTCGTAAGCGGCCACTGCTCTCCATACCGGTGACTTGCCACACTTGTCCACCCGGCTACCCCTGGGGGCTCGTGTGGTGGGGTTTCACGTTATCCTCATCGACGGGAGCCGTTTGTGTCCAATCAGCGGAGAGTGTCAGCTCGTGGTCTCCCGCCTTCCCCTGGTGACCCCAACTCTCGGTTCTGGCTGCTGCTTCGCTGCTCTGGATCCTCGTTTCTAGCGCCCTACCAGCTAGTCTCACCCACAATCTCTCAGACTCAGGGGTTCAAAGATCCCCCATCTTTTTCCTGTGAGACTCACTCCACTTCCCGGATCCCCTGATGGACAGACTGTGGCTTCTGGGCTCCCCGATTCCGGAGTCACAGACCTGGCTGCCCCTTCCTCCCCCCGCCTCCCCCCAAGTCTAACACCTGCCGGCCCTCCTGCCCCTCGGCTTCAGGTCTGAGTCAGGGAAGGCTGGGCGCCGGCCACGCCCCCTCTGGGACCTGGATGCTGTAACAGGCGAAAGCATCATCCATTTCCTCCCAATTCTCCCAGGTGGTTTTGTTTCCAACATATTGAGGTCATATCGCATCCCAGTTTGAAATGCACTAAAGCATTTGGGATTCTCACGTGTCAGTGCTCACACAGAGCTCTCCTGCCACCCACAGGTGCCCGGCTGAGCCATGGGTCTCCCTCGTCCCCCTCGACCCCTCGGGGACAATGGCCATGGGTCTCCCTCGTCCCCCTCAACCCCTCGGGGACAATGGGCATGGGCACCCGACCTGTGCTCTCACACGGATGCACTGCGGGCTCTAAGATTAGGACCGTGGAGTCCCATTAGGAGCCTTTGACACCATTAGCATTAATATTCAAAATGTATTCCCATCCATTGTGCAAAGTAATCTGAATTGCCCTGTGAACACAGGGCCGAGTCTTTGGAAGCCGGCCATGCGGAGCTGAGGTCCCCAGGGCACAAGCCCGGGCAGCCTTGCTATTTGCAAAATACTGGCTCATGTCCACCTCCTTCCTGGGAGCCACAATTAACCGCGCCGTGACCCAGTCCGCGTCTCTGGCGCTGCAGCCTGGTGTGCGAAGACAGCACTCAGGCCGGAGCCTTTTCAAGTCCGTTATCCTCCTGAAGGGTGTGGGTGGGGTTCTCGCAGAGGCCTTTTCTGGAAAGTTTACGTGGTTTCATGGGGTTTCTAGCTGGTGGGTCACCAGAGTGACCCAGGCTTGTCCACAGTCCTGGTCCCAAGAATGGCTGGTGAGGGAGCCAGGCCTGAAATTCTTGACTCGAGAGCCCAGCTGGGCACAGATGGATTCAGCTGCCTGGGGACTGTCCCGTCTCCCTAGCTTGTCATTTAGAGGGGACTCCGCGTCCCCTGTGGTGCATACTCGTTCCTCAGTGAATTTCTATTTCTGTTTAGGAATGTTGGGTGGAACCAAGTTCATGGTGGATTGATTCCCTCTGATGCCACTGAGATGAATGACAGCAGATGCAGAAACCTTTTAGGGAGGGGGGGATGTAGACATGGCTGAGCCGAGCCCTCGGGGAAAGAAGGACAGCAGTCCAGGCAGGAGGATGGAAGCTGCTAGCTGTGGAGGTGGGAGGGAGCATGCGCAGTGCGAAAGCAGGAGGGAAAAGGACCAAAAAGATGTTTAACGTGTGATTTCAAATGACCAAAAAGATGTTTGGTGTGATTTCAAAGGACCAAAAAGATGTTTAACGTCATTAACCATGAGTAACATGCAAAGCAGATCCAGGATGAAATAAATTCCCAGGCCTATCAGGATGGATGACATAGAAACTACGGACAGTAGCAAGTGCTGACGAGCGCACGGA